ATTGGCACCCTCACAGAACTTATATCTGGGTACATAGACAATATCCTAAAACCTTTATTGCCTGACATACCTAGTTATATTAGAGACACTACTGACTTTCTCAGCAAATTACAAAACATTAACTTAGTCCACCATGATACAATCCTAGTAACGATGGATGTTTCGTCCCTTTACACGAACATTCCACATGTTGAAGGAGTATCAGCTTGCTATGAGTTCCTTAGTAACAAAAAATTACCTAACTACCAAATTACAGATATATGCCAATTAATAAAGTTCATCTTAACACATAATAATTTTAAATACAACAACAAACACTATTTACAGATTAGTGGCACAGCAATGGGCACAAAATGGCACCTAGTTATGCTAATATCTTTATGCACATTCTAGAAAAGAAGATACTAGACAATTCGGAATATAAACCATCACATTACTTTAGATATATTGATGACATTTTCTTATTATGGACTCATGGATCAGAAAAATTAAAAACCTTTTTTCACTTTCTGCAACAATTTCCACGATACAATTAAATTTACCATGGAGCACTCATACACATCCATCCCTTTCTTAGACGTTATGATAAAATTAAACAAACATACACTTTCTACCAGTCTATACAACAAACCCACAAACCAACATAAATTCCTGCACTTTAACAGCTGTCATCCCTTTAAATTAAAAAAATCTATTGTATACAGCTCATTTCTTAGAACCAAACGCATATGCTCAGACCATTTAGATTTTCTATACAATATTAATAACTTAACAAAACAATTCCTAAAATGCAAATACCCAATAAAAATAATAAAAGAAGCACTAAATAAAACTATCCTGATAAATCAAACACACTTCTCACATACAAGAAAAATAAAAACAACAATCGGATTCCCATGGTTTTTAACCACAATCAATATTCCCACACACTTATTCACAATTTAAAAAAATGATTACAAGAACCTCCAATTAGACAACAAGATCAAAGACATTTTCGATAAACCACCCATAAATGCAATGAAACAATCACCTAACTTATCAGCTATCCTCACCTCTACCAAATATCTAAACAATAGAAACCAAACAGGAAATTACAAATGTAACAAACCTCGTTGCTTAGTTTGCAAACATTTAGTAATAGCTAATACATTTTACGTACCCAACACCAATATCAGGATACAGCCACCTAACCTCACCTGCGATACCCATAACGTAATCTATTATTTATTCTGCAACTTATGTCCTAATAGTGGATATATTGGTGAGTCTGGAAACAATTTTAGATTTCGTTTTAATAACCATAAACAAACAATACGTCAAAACAACCCTTATTCCCCATAGCTAAACACTACAATCAATCAGGACACACATTAGAAAACTGCAAATGTTTATTAATAGATTCCGATTTTACTTCCACATTCACACGCAGAAAAAAAGAAACATATTGGATTTTAAAATTAAATACACATAAATTAGGGTTGAATAGGGACTTAGGTGTTTTAAATCTTTATAAATATTTCAATAGCTAAGCAATTTCTTTAGATATAGTAAAAAAAATATTTTTTAAAATATTTATGACAGTTAGATTTAAGTTAGGAATATCTGAACAGTGACGTTCCATATCACGTGACGTCCGCGTCTCTCGAAGGACGCTACTTGCCAACAAACAGTAATTTTAATTTATTTGTAACAAACAGTTATTTCTGATGAAAAATTGAGGACAATTTGAAATATCAAATATATATATAAATAAATAAATACTTTCATAAAATAAAACATTATAATTTTTAATTTGAAACTTTTTCTATATATATATATATATATATATATATATATATAGATAGATAGATATACAAACAAACCTCTAAAAACAGTTATTTCTGAAGAAAGATCGAGGTCGATCTAAAATATCAAATATAAATAAATACTTTCACAAAAAAAAAAACATTATTATTTTTTGAATTTGCAACATTTTAGTTGTTATATATATATATATATATATATATATATATATATATATATATAGGAAAATTATATAAAGATTATAATTTATTATATAAATTAATTTAATGTATGATTAATATTAATTTTAAATATTAATAATATAGAATATTAAGATATTAATATAAATTAATTAATATGACTTATGAAAAAAATTAAATATTAATAATAAAAATTAATTTAATATATAAATTATATATGGATTATATATAAAGGAAGGATTAACAGAATTAACCTCTTCAGCAGCAGGTGTTATTTCCAGCAAAACCCTCCACACTGAGGGCCTATATATGCACTGGTGTATATAAATGTTCCATAAAATTTAGTTAAATACGAGTTTATTTCAATTAAATTGGTCTTACTTCAAAATAAAGCACATACATTCACTATTTCTATAATACAATTCCTAAAATTATCTATTAGTAAAAAATAAAATGAACTTTTTTTCATCATATGATTAGGGAGGGTCACCAAAAAAATTAAGAATAAAATCGAGACATGAAATTTGCAAAACAACAATTAAGAAGGGAAAAAGGAAAATAGATAAGTAGCATTCGAGGTCAAGTGATACTCAGCCGGAAGATTGTGAATTCCGGTCGCCGGTTTACATAGACAGGCCGAATTCTAGATAAGAGTGAGTGACGATTTGTTCTGGACGAACGGGAGGGGCAATCACAGTTAGAAAGGGCAAAGGGAAGATCTGGTCCGTTAGTCTGTCGAGACAGAAGACGGAAGTAGCTGTCCGAAGTGCCATTTGCCTACACACACTGACAGTGTCAGGTGAATCTGCGAATAACGAACCCATTATATTTAAAACAAGATTCCTGATTTCTTTTCTCTCCGTTGTGACCTTTTCACCTTCTGTTCTTTTGTTGAGCGTAAACTGGACCCTTACCCAGTTTTATTCATCCTGGCCGAAGCGGGAATCAAATTATGTCATGAAACAGAAGCTGAACAGTTAGTGAAAAACTCACAAAGGGCCACGAACTCACAGGTGCTTTGGCACGAAGTCTTTGACAACACGGTAATCGCGTAGACTAATTAGCATTCTAGTGAATTTGTATTTTCTCGAACTGTCTGCATTTCAATCTATGAAAAATCTGGAATAGCATACCATATATGTAGAGGAAGTGACCAGTCCTCACCTTCCAGTCTTGATAGAGTGGCTTGGAAATTTTCCATGTAAACATAAACAGACTATCCTTATTGTTTTGTCCGTGTATTGTTTATATATATATATATATATATATATATATATATATATATATATATATATGCGCGTGTATGTACAATGTAAATGCTTGCTAATGATTTTATTATAGGAATGCATTGAAAATCAGGAAGAAAGGGATTATCAGTGGTCAGGAATTAATACAATCATTTCTGATAGAATAGGGCTATTATATGTATAATGTAAATGCATTGCTAATGATTTTACTATAGGAATGCATTGAAAATCAGGAAGAAAGGGATTGTCAGTGGTCAGGAATGAATGAAAGCATTACTGATAGAATAGGGCTATTATATGTATAATGTAAATGCATTGCTAATGATTTTACTATAGGAATGCATTGAAAATCAGGAAGAAAGAGATTGTCAGTGGTCAGGAATGAATGCAAGCATTACTGATAGAATTGGGCTATTATATGTATAATGTAAATGCATTGCTAATGTTTTTACTATAGGAATGCATTGAAAATCAGGAAGAAAGGGATTGTCAGTGGTCAGGAATGAATGCAAGCATTATTGAGAGAATATGGATTATCTATTATTGCTCTTTCATTATGAATGCTTTCAGAGCTAATAATAATATTCATTTGTATGAAGCCTTACATATTTTACAAGCATCTAAACGAATCCCCCTTTTTGGAAATCATAAATAAATTCCAACCAATTGCGTTGATTGGCAATAAATAGTTGTTCGAAAGTCCGCTTTGATATTTGAAATGGATGGAAGTTAAACGGTCCATAATAAGAATTATAATAATTGCGCATTCTTCAGGGCAATGATTCCAACGTTGAGGCCCGAAATAAAGCAACAGTAATGCCGGTTTCATTGTTATTTTAATATAATTATTATTTACGATTGACAATATTTTTGATTGAATAAATAAGTAAGAGAAGGATAGAGGGCTAAAAAGGAAGAAATGAGAAGAAAAGAAGAAGAAAGAAAAGAAGGAAAAAGGCAAGAAAAGAAAAAAGAAAGCTGACAAGAAAGAAAGCTGACAAGAAAGAAAGCTGACAAGAAAGAAAGAAAAACTGACAAGAAAGAAAGAAAAGAAAGAAAGAAGGAAAGAAGAAAAGAAAGAAAGAAAGCTGAGAAGAAAGAAAGAAAAAAGAAAGAAAGTAAGAATAAATGAATCAAAAAAGAAAGAAAAGGAAGACAGAGTAGGTCATTGCCAAAAAAAAGGGCAAAAGCGAGAATAAAGCAATGAAAATGAAGGAATAAAGATGGATGAGGACAGGAAAAGAGAAAGAAGAAAAAAACAGGAAAAAAAGTTAAAAATAGAACGCAAAACAATTTAAGAGAGAGGACGGAAGAGAAGTAATCGAAAGAGGAAGGAGGAAAAAAGAACAGGATAGAAGGAATATAAAAAAAAGAATAATGTAAAGAAGAAAGAGAGAGGAGATAAAAAGGAAAGAACAGAAAGAAGAGAGGAAATGTAAAGAGAGGAAGAGAATATAAAAAGAGAAAATGAAATATGAAGTGGGGGACGAAGAGGAGAAGGAAGAGGAGAGAGATGAAAAGTGTAGGAGGGAAGGTGAAATAGGGAAGAGGAAAAAAAAGAGAAAAAAAAAAAAAACGAGGGCAAGGAAAGGCGTTTTAAGAGGGAGTGAAAAAGAGAAGAGAAAAAAGAAAATGGAAGAGAAGAAGGGGAAGCGAAAATAAAATGCAAGAGAAAAGAAAGAGAGCAAAGTGTAGAACAGGGGATAAAAAAAGAAGAAATTAAGAAAGAAGAATTGAAACGAAAAGAAAGAAAGAAAGAAAGCATGTAAAATTAGAAAGAAAGTAAGGAGAAAAGAAAGGAAAAGAATGAATGAAAAAGATAGAAAGAAAGAAAGAGAAAGGAAGAAAGAAAGAAAAAAGAGAAAGAAAGAGAAAGAAAGACAAAATGAAACAAAGACAGAAAGAATGAAAGATAAAAGCAAGGCCGAAAGAAAGAAAGAGAAAAAGAAAAAAAATGAAGAAAAAAGAAAAAATTAAATATCAAAAGAAAGAAAAATAAAAAGAAAGAAAAATCAAAGAAAGAAAGAAGAAAGACAAAAAAGAAAAATGAAAGAAAATGAAAATGAAAATGAAAGAAAGACAAAAAGAAAGAAAGAAAGAAAGAAAGAAAGAAAGAAAGAAAAAGTAAGAAGAAAGAACGTAAAATTAGAAAGAAAGAAAGAAAGACAGAAAGAAAGACAGAAAGAAAGACAGAAAGAAAGGAGAAAAGAAAAGAAAAGAATGAATGAAAAAGAAAAAAGAAAAGAAAGAAAGACAAATTGAAGAAATACAGAAAGAATGAACGATAAAAGAAAGTAAAAGAAGAAAGAAAAAAGGCAGACCAACTGTAAGAAAGACTAAAAAGGAAGAAAAAAAGAAAGAATTAAAGATTATAAGGAGAGAAAGAAAAATATAAAGAAAGAAATATAAAAAGAAAGAAAGAAGAAAGACAAAAAGAAAAATGAAAGAAAGTAAAAGAAAGACAAATTGAAAGAAAGCCAAAAAGAAAAAAGAAAGAAAAAAAGACAAAATGAAAGAAAGCCAAAAAGAAAAATGAAAAAAAGAAAAATGAAAAAAAGAAAAAAAGACAAAAAGAAAGAAAGCCAAAAAGAAAAAAATGAAAGAAAGAAAGAAAAAGATAAGAAAGAAAGAAAGAAAGAAAGAAAGAAAGAAGAAAGACAAAAAAGAAAAACGAAAGAAAGTAAAAGAAAGACAAAATGAAAGAAAGCTAAAAAGAAAGAAAAAGAAACAAAGAAGAAAGACAAAAAGAAATATGAAAAAGGAAAAAGACGAAATGAAAGAAAGCCAAAAAGAAAAAAAGAAATAAAGAAAAAGAAAGAAAGGAAAATAAAAAGAAAGAGGCAAAAAAGAAAAATGAAAAAAAGAAAAAGAGAAAATGAAAGAAAGCCAAAAAAAAGCAAAGAAAAAGAAAGAAAGAAAAATAAAAAGAAAGAAAGAAGAAAGACAAAAAAGAAAAATGAAAAAAAAAGAAAGACAAAATGAAAGAAAGCCAGAAAGAAAAAGAAAGAAAGAAAGTAAGTAAGAAAGAAAGAATGAATTGAATAGTGCAGACGAGAAAGAGCAACCAATAAAAAAAAAAGAACTCTTTCTTGTGTAAGTGTCGCCGTTCAGTTCTGCAGACGGCTTTGTATGACGCAGTTAAATTAAAAGATTCCGCTCCTCAGTCCCTCACTATTTACTAGGCGATTAGTTTTAGCGACAGACAAGCAAACAGACGGTCTGAAGAGAAAGCGGTATGGGTCGGAGGGGAAGATATTTGGTACGTAATGTACCGGCTTCCCAAATAGTTCTGAAGTCTGTACGAGTCAAGGCTAATTCGATCACAACAAACGTCGTAGAAATTTGAATAGTGACAATTCTCCTGTTCGCCTCTTTAAGTGTTTTTCTTTCAAGTCTCTGTAGTTATTGCTTAACGCACAAGGCCAAAATGAAGGGTTATGAAGATCATGTTACGCCATTTTTTCAAAGAGACTAGACCACTTAAAACAGTATTCGAAATAATCTCTCTCTCCCCCCTCTCCCTCTCTCTTTTATCTCAGCTCGAATATTGAAAAACACTTAACTACATTGGCCACGAGGACGATCTCTTTTACCGTCCCGTCTGCCCTATTCTTTATGAAAAAAATTCTCCTTCGTTTGTTAATTACACTTCTACTTTGATTTTATTCGTTTATTTTTCCACTTGAGATCATTTTTCGTCTCTTCTATCCGAAATGTTTTTAAGATCCACTGCCTTTTAGTCTAGCAATGATACCCGTTATTGCCCGGGTCAAATGCCTTCCTTTTTTTATCTCTGAGTTAAGTGATAGCTCAATTATCAGTATTCAAGCAGTTCGACGGGTTTAAACAGTTTTGCATTTGTTCCTTAAGTAGGTTTGATGTCTTCATTTCAAGTGCAATAATACACATTATTTACATTATTTGGACTATTGTCCTCATCTTTATCGCCATATTTATTACAACGTTTCGGCCTTTCACTATCTGTCTATATTTCTGAGATGAGGTATTATGTACACTATTTACATTTTTCGGACTATTGTCCTCATCTTTGTCCCCATATTCATTACAACGTTTCAGCCGTTGTACGCTCCGGCCTTCTCCAGGTGGTTGGAATGTCTAACTTAACCCTTTATTTCGCTCACTGGATAGACTGTTCTAGTTTCACGTGCCATGTTTAATGGATGTAACACGAGGGGAAGTGGAAAAATCAGGTGTGGCTGACCACATATGGAGAGAGAAGGGAGATCACCGCCCTCTGTGGGATCAGGTTGAGATCATAGACAAGGAAACTTAATGAATCAGCACATATGCTAGGCCACAAAATCTCTTGAGCAGACCAAGCATAGAAACGAATACAATATGGGAACCAGTAATAAGGAGTGTCAGAGAAAAGTGATAATAACAAGAAAAGTTGCGATATGGGCTCTGGTAAAAACATGAATTGATAACAGTAAAAAATTGCAATATGAGCACTGGTAAAAATGGTTGCTGAAGACATTAGGTTTATAATACCTGGAAATTAATACACAGATGTCCTCAAGGACACATGGCACAGTGGATAAAGGCGTTAGTCAGATCCAGTGACAGGACACAACGAGTGTGAGTTCAATACCCGGTTATGGCAGTGGAGAACTTGGAGCGGGAAATTAACAGGAGATAACTGATAAGTGACATCCATTAGACATGGCACATGAAACAAGAACAGTCTAGTAAAGGGCCAACCAACGTACAACGGCCGAAAAAAAGATATAATAGTCCGAATAATGTACATAATACCTCATCTCAGGAATATAGACAGATACGCAATAATACAGTAATCGAATGGTCACGAGTTTGAATCCCGATAACGGATCCATCAAAAACGTTAAATACGTTTTGTAGAATTGTATGACATGTATTTCTTCTAAATAAATAAACGGCAAATTCTGTCTGTGTGTCTAACATCCCTCTAACTCGGGTCAAACTTGTTCTACATAGATATATTATACCTTTTGGGGAATCAGGAATCTGCCCTTCATCTGGTGTTTGAACATCCAGCATTGGAACTTGTGTCCGGATGAGGAGGAAACAGTTAAAAATTCAAATTTTAAAATAATGAAAAAAATTAGTGGTTTTAAAAGTTAAAAGTTTTTAATTTATATTGAGTTTAAAGTAACACAAAAACTTTGTGAATTTGATTTTTTTTTTTTTTTTTTTTTAATTCAGTTTAAGATATCTCCAAAACTTTGTGAATTGGGGAAATCAATTTGTTCAAAATGCCAAAGAAACAAAGTTGAAGTGAGAGGTTTACTGACGTCAGATTTTGAAAAGTTTCTTGCTGCAGAATTTGTAATTGGAAGAACTCAGCTTTTGGCCTGAATTGGAATTTCGACCAAATCGGATTTAATGTGAGGTTTTGAAGTTCCATGAAGTGAATTGTGGAATTTAAACTTATTTCTTCAAAATTATCATTGCTGTTTTCTAAGTCGGCCCAGAGGTTCTACAAACCCAATTAGCCCTTCGCAGAAGTGTGGCTTTTAAACTAGCAATAAATAAAACGTATAAAATTTAATTCTTCACTCAATTCCATTTTGCTACGAACAAAAGAGCCTCCTTCTTTTCTAACTGATAAAAATGTTTGCTTTTCTCTTTAAATAAACTCAGTGAATATAAACGACTAAATCCTTTATTAAATAAAACAGACCAAGTAACGACTTTTATTATTTTTAAGAACGCAATGTAAATAAATAAACATTTCAGAAACAATCGCTTATTTATAAAGAAAACAAAATATATGTTTGGAAATGAATAACAAAGCAGTCTTTTTTTCATTTGATCGTTTAAAACATATTCTCCGTTCTCGTAAAATTGCCTAAAATAGAACGAAAGATAAATAAATTTATAAAGCAAAACAATTTATTACGAAAAGTGTAGCGTCTAAAATTAGTGAACAAAATTGTAAATAGACAAATTAACTGAATGATTATTGTTTCTTTAATATCGAAGGTTTATCCCTTATTTCCTGTTTAGGAATGAGGTTCCGGTTCCTTCTAAAGTCAGTTCATTCGCTTGTTTTCCCAATCACAAACACTCTTGAGTTCTTCAAGTCCAGAGTTATCCGTTATCTTTCCTACATAGCCCCCATAGAACTTCATCCCTTTTGTTATGCGTATATAACACAACAGAGTAGCCCTCTATCTTGACTGACTCTTGGGCCTTGTATTGGGTCAACATTAGTGTATATATATATATATATATATATATATATATATATATATATATATTATTACAGAATCATAAAATCCATTCAGGTGATATTTTATTTCGTCCACAAAATAAAATAAAATATCACCTGAATGGATTTTTAAGGATTCTGTATTCATTATTATATGTGCTCTGTTCTTACATTGAGCTCTCTTTGTATTTATATCCTCCTTAGATTTATCCCTACTAATTATCAGATATATATATATATATATATATATATATATATATATATATATATATATATATATATATATATAAATAATTTATTCGAAAATTATAACATAAATATGTTATAAAACCACTACAAAAAATAGCCATTTTGTTTCAACAGTTCTGGTGTCTTATCAAGTGATGATGTTAGCACTCTTATAAGAATAGTATTTGTTGGTCATTGAATTTATTCCGTATACACCAATTCTATACTTGTTATATATATATATATATATATATATATATATATATATATATATATATATAATAGAAGTGAAAGGTTTGTCACTGATTTATGTTAGCTTCAGCATCACGACTCCAAAGTTTTGTAGAGCGGCCCTCTGAGAATTACTCTGTCTACTCGTCAGTAGGTATCAGCAATTGACTGTTTATTGTTTTTTTTTATATACACTTTTTATTGGTGCAAGCTGATACAATATATATAACAAGGAAAATATATAAATTCATTTTCATCATATGTTTAGGTTTTATTACAACTGTTATGGTAATTTACACATGCATGTATGGACTCTCCCAGCTATAAATAGGAGCAGGTATTGCCTTTTAGAGAGTGTAGTTTCCAGCAGTCTGCTCTGACAGTCGGGTAGACTGTTCTAGTTCCACGTGCCATGTCTAATAGATGTCAGTTTTCTCCTGTTAATTCCCTTCCCTAAGTTCTCTACCTCATTAACAGGGTATTGAACTCACACTCTTTGGGTCCTGCTGCTGGATCTAACTAACGCCTTTATCCACTGTGCCATGTGTTCTTGAGGACATCTGTGTATGAATTTCTGGGTATTATAAACCCGCACGTGGAACTAGAAGAGTCTACCCAAGTGAGCGAAATGAAGGGTTCAGTTCGACATCCCTGAAGAAAACCGTTGCGTACAACGGCCGAAACGTTGTGATAAACATGGTGACAAAGATGAGGACAATAGTCCGAAAAATAATGTAAATAGTGTCCTCTCTTTGTGTCTTTATTTCTGTCCCCAACAAGGCCAGAACATAATCATAGCTTTTTCAAACAATAAATATTGCCGAGGAGTGAAGGTAGTTAAAATAATAGAGGTGTTAAGGGAAAAATAGTCATTTTGTCACAGCATTTTTTGTGGGTACGAAGGTTAAAGGGCGTTAATATAGATACATGTAAGCTAATATATGGGCACACACATTCTGATGTGTTTACACGTCATATTTTTGAGTTAATTTATACGAATAATTTGAACTCCTCCCGATCGAACTCTATGGCGTTCAACAGAATGTGTAACGGTAAAGGAATGCCTTCCTAAGGAAATTTATGAATCTGCCTGGAAGACGGAGGCAGACTTCCGTGGTATTCAGCAATGGAAATCTATGTAGGTTTCAGCTGCGTTGGAAAAAGCCGATTGAGGACAGTGAATCTTCGGCCTCGTTCTGGTGGGGATCATTTTTTTTTAATTGAAATCCTCACGAGATCAGAAATGGGTCCCGTGACCTTTTTAATGTTAATCGAACGAGTGCTAACACAAACCCCATGCGAAAAGAAATATATACGCTTGAGACGCCCACATTTTGGAGTGAACGCAAAGGTTAATGGATAGTTTTCGCTTTGGAATGAAAGCTTCGGTCATTATGTTTTATCTTTTGAACCTGAGTGTGTCCAATACTTTTAAAAGATAAACACAGTGTGTGTGTGTGTGTGTGTGTGTGAGAGAGAGAGAGAGGGGGAGAGGGGGAGAGAGAGAGAGAAAGAAAGAAAGAAAGAAAGAAAGAAAGAAAGAAAGAAAGAAAGAAAGAAAGAGAGAGTTACATCAACGGAGAGAAATACAGGATGGGTATTTGTGAAGATATTCACTTACCACCCCACGCGGTTGGATGCGGCACAAGGCCAAGTTTATTGTGGGGTAATCGAGCGGGTAGCTGTCTACCACCCCAGACGAGACTGCCCGTTGGCATAGCGTCGTCTGGGTTCCTATCTGCCCGGAGACAGAGAGCTTGACAAGCACATTGTGG